GAAGTATGTGGGTCGGGGGGGGGGGGGGGGGGGGGGGGTTCCTGGACCATAAACTCCATCACTTACATTTTCTTATTATTACACAATTCAGTGCAAAATATCTCTATTTCTAGACAACTGAGTCGGGCTTGGTATATACTCCTCTTCAAAGTAACCAATCAACTGCAAAATGTCTTTCCCTGTTAACATGACAATTTTTTTTTCTTTTCTATCTTCATACATATCTTCATTTTTACTCTGCATGTTAAGTATAGCGTGCTTCCGTACTTTCAGGATGACCGTGACGGGTTATGGTCTATGTGGGTTGGGTCGGGTCAACCCTTTTAATGACGAGCCAGAACTTCTACAACCCTAACCCAACCCACCTAACCCGTGGGTTAAACGGGTTGGCCCGCGGGCCAATATGTAAAAAAATCAAAGGAAATTATTATAACAAAAAAAATTAAAAATAATTACCCGGAAGTATAAATTTATATTAGTAAGTAGTAACAAAGGAAATATAAAAAATCAAAATACTAAAAATTCAATACTTGTTAAGTTTAATTAAAAAATATTAAATACTAGTTATACGAGAATTTGAAAACTATAAGAGGGTATGCGACCAAAATACTCATTGTATAAAAATAAAGATCTACATAAACCTTTTGATTAATTATTTGTAAATAATGACTACTAATCGTTAAATATTATATCGAACTTCACATAAAATATATGTTTCCACATTTTATTTGAATATTTATTATTGAAATATATATTGTTTTGCCATGGTTGTAATTTTTTATTTGTAATTATAATAATATTGGTAGTAAAAAGATAATATTTAAGATAATAAAATTGAAAACTATATTTTTGTATATTGGCCCGCGGGCCAACCCGCAACCCGGTGGGCCAACCCACTTAAACCCACAACCCGCGAAACCCGCGAACTAAATGGGTCGCAAATTTTCAACCCTAACCCACCAATAAATGGGGTTAAACGGGTCAAGCCCGCGGGTTTCGGCCCATTTTGACGGCTCTAAGTTCAACAGCCTTGTTAGACTATGTCTCGATCTATATACTCTTTCCAAATTTAATTCGGTGTAAAACTTTAATAACTAGTAAGATAGCTTTTAAGCACAGCTAAGAGGACGTCATGACTAGCATTATTAGTCTGATTTCCAATAGTAGATAAGAATAAATCTCTTATTCTAAGCTCTTTAATATTTTTGAATTCGATATACCTATCAGATAAAGGAACACTCAGACTAATTAATCTAAAAATGTGAAGTAGTTAGAAATTAGAAAGAATCATTGATCTCGTTCAAATCCTGTCTTCACTAGAATATAAAGAGTTGGGCTCTCAAATAGGTACATTATCTTTCTTAGATAAGTATTCATTGTTATATTAGGACAAAGTTGTAAACCATTAATTTTTTTTTGTGATAATAGAAAACAGCTCTGCTTATTTAATTGTTTTCCTTCCTTTTCAAAATGCTTGTTTCAATTTGCTATTTACTCAATGGGGCAGCTACTTTTAGATTATTTATCAGTATACATTCATTTCATATTGATGTTTCTTCATTAATTTAATGCATCTTGAGCTATTGATTTTTGAAAATGACGAGTCTGTTGCACCATCGTTGTATAACTACAAATAAAAATACATGTCTATTTTGCCTCTTTCGATTCTTACTGACACATTATTAGAATTTTACTTTTTATAGACGGATGATTCACTCATTCAAATTGCACAGAAAGATACAAAGACTGCAAATGACTACAATTTACCTTTTATGCAGGGTTGTTTAGTACTTTAATACTAAAGATGCTCGAAATGAAATACTAAATTGTGCTCTAAGTACCATAGAGAAAGAGATAGGTCGACTCAAGATAATGAAAAAACTTGTTACTAGTGAGAGTCGTAATATAATTACAAAGGGTCCAAAGTAAAATCATTTATTTTTTGCAAGGTAAAGGAACTGTATATTGATAAAATAGTGCAGAATTACAAACAAAGCATAGCAGGTCAACAATTTCAAGAGGGGATTCTAAGCATAGGATATCAGTTTCCACCCCTCTGTTTGGACGTTGAGCTAGTTGTGTGCTACACGATTACATTCTACTTTAACCAAACTAAAGCACGCATCATAGAAACCTGAGGTCACCCCCTTCAACTCCTAGAGTATTAATAAAAAAACGGGATCTATCATTACCTGAGAGTAGGGCTGTTAACGAGCCGAGCCCGAACACCCAAAGCTCGAGTTCGGCTCGATAAGGAATTAGTAGTGTTCGGGTTCGAGCTCGAAGCTCGACGAGCTTTACAAATGAGGCTCGTGTTCTGCTCGATAGGTGTTCGATGTTCGAACCGAGCGCTCGATAAGCTCGATAAATATGCTCAAATTTAAAATTTTAAGTGATGCCCGTTAATAGGCTCGTGCTGTAAAACTCAGCTCGGGTCCGAGTTCGAAAGCTCGTTAAGCTCGACTCGTTAGGTTTGAAACCGAGCTCGAACTTGAATAGTTCGATAAAAGCTCGGTTCGTTAACAACCCTACCTGAGAGTATTTGTCAAAAGTATGGGTATATAGTAAGTTTGTGGATATAATGTAGTTCAGTTATTTTAACTATTAAACAACTATTGGTTTGATGATGTGTAAATTGAAATCTGAATTTAAATATTTTCATTATTTAAATAAAGAGTATGATGTTTTAACAAAAAAATAAACTTCATGATTTGTATAAGTAAATATTGAAGTAATTTTTCCAGGAAAAATATCAAAGCAACTAATAATCTAAAAACAATAAAAAAATAGACCAATGTAGTTGTAGGGATGGACCTAACCGGGCCGAACCGGCCTGGAACCGGTCCGGCCCGCTACTGTGCGGGTATGGCCTGGACCGGGGCCGGTTGGCCGGTTCCGTGCTTTTAGCCCGTTTGGGTGGGTCGGGCGGGCCGGGCTCGGGCCCAGGTTTTGTTGAACCGGCCCGGGCGGTTCGGGATGGCCTCGGATCATTTTTTTTGTTTTTTCAGATTTTTTTCTTTTCCTAGGGTAGGGCTGGGTGTTTTGGGGAGGTTTGGGGGGTGGGGTGGGGGGGGGTCGAGGATAACAAGAAAGCCAAAAAAAAACATTGAACCGGGCCTGGCCCGGCCCGGTTAGGCCCGGACCCGGTATCAACCCGGGCCGGTTTCGGGCCCAAGTTATTGCAAAAAAAGCCCGCCCGGTCCCGGCTCGGCCCAGAACCGGATCGGCCTGGGTCCATCCCTATGTAGTTGTATGATTTGTACAATGGAAAACATGTACATGTGTAACTTCCAAATTTACATTTCATAAAACATAAACTCTTTTCAATTTTGTAACTCAAAATAAGAGGAATTAACCCGTTTCTATCTCCTAGCACAAACCCAATGGTTCAACATCTCTGCATTAGGTTGCACGTTGTGGGATATGATCACTTCTTGCACGTTATTGATTACTTTAAACGATGCGCCAATGCTCCCTTTCAAATCTTTTGCACTCTCCATCCCAAAAAGGCCATGTTTGGGCATAACGTGTTTAGTATTAAAAACAGTATTTGTATTGGAACATGATAAAAATAGTGATATACATATATTAAATAACCTGTTTGCCAAGGGATTTCAAAAGATTTCCGCGTTTCTACTCCATGTGAGCAAGAGCTTGTGAAAAACACAATGCAGCTCTTGATAACGTGATATGGTTAGTACATGTGTTGCCAGACCCATGTTTCTTCATGTCTTCCGATAGCTTAGTTCTTGTTAGAGAAACCATTTCGCCTATGACCATGTGATCCTTGTACTAGTGAATTTAAACAGACACTGAAGTTTTGAAAAATAACCTATCTCAACTAGCTTGGACCCAGTAAAGATGTAGCCTTCGACTCCACGAACAATATCCCTTTGTAAATGCTGAAATGGCAATGGCAGAAATGTTATTTTAATATAAAAAATCAAGGATTATTAACATATTTTATCCCAAACCATCATCAAATTCACAAATCTACCCTATTCTTTCACTTTTATCCAAAAAATACTCAAACTTCATATTTTTCAAGAATTGTGCTTTTCTTTTAGGAAAAATTGACAAGAATAATCCCACCTTTCACTGGTCTTCTCATAATAATCCCACCTTTAAATAATCCCAAAATAATCCCACCTTTACACCTCATCTTCTTCCATTGGACCCTGACCAAGTTTTTTTTACCTTTTTAAAAAATCTTATATAAATAATCTCACATTTATAAGGATATAATTAAAAAGTGAAAGGTGAGATTATTTATATAATTTTCAAAGAAGAGTAAAAAACATGGTCAGGGTCCAATGAAAGAAGATGAGGTGCAAAGGTGGGATCATTTTGGGATTATTTAAAGGTGGAATTATTATGAGAAGACCAGTGAAAGGTGGGATTATTCTTGTTAATTTTTCCTTTCTTTTTTGTATTTTCAAAACTACACATTTTTATCAATGCCAATAAGATAAATATGAAATTTATGAGAATTTTGTGAAGCTTGTGTGGCTCTAAATCATTCTTACTTTATAGTTTATTAATTCAATACCAACCACGTTAACCACTTTTTATTGATTTGCGTGTTTCGTGTCTCATTGTTAGTGGAACGGAGGGAGTATATTATACACAAAGTAACTTCTAAAATAAACATTTAATAGATACTTACGTTGAAATCGTTTTACACAATTTATTAAAGTTGAGAGTTGGGGCATGTGACATTCCCGCAATGCGTGACAAATAGTTCATCTAAAGACAATTTTATCTTTAATGAATCCTAGGTGTGCAGTTATACACAGTACTAGGAAACATTCGACTCGCTACACAGTACCAAATCGTACACTTTCACCGAGATCAATAGTATCCTCTCGTAACAACATTTATCAAAATTATACTATGGCTAGCAGTTGAACTTAGAGACCGTTTTTTATACCAGGAGTTTATTAATAGCTGAATTAACTTTTCTGCCTGATGTTGCATTACCATACAAGTCCAGTTTACAAGGAAGGGAGTTGATGGAATAAAAATTACAATTGAAGACTCTCTTGAATCAAGTGAAAGGGAAAGATCCTATCAAATAAATGGAGGCATATTTGGCACAATTCTTGTTGAATGTAGGATGTATAGTCATTATGTACAGCTCCATGATTGAACTGGGAATGCATACAACAGTCAAGGAGCAACGATTACATGCAGCTTACCAAATAGTTTAGGGGGTCATACTAAACTAGTGTAGAGAAAGTCTAACATTGGTAATTTGGTATAACACAAATGTTACTCACTTGAGGAGACAACTGAACCGTCAACTTTAAAAAATGAGGAACAAAGGACCATGTTAAAACAGATGCAGCAGAAAAAAAAGGATTGGATCACCAACCTACAACCAAATAAGAAAAGGAAGTTAGAGTGAGCAACAAGTTTGCAAATAAGATATTGTAGAAACATCAAATGAATCATAAGCTTCGCTTACAATTTTCCCGTCGCAATCATTCCTTGCAGAATTCCACTATTTTCTCCAAGAACTGGAACTAAAGCAAACAACAGACCAACAACACAGTCCTAGCATAAAGATAAACAGGAGAAGGTAAACGATTTTAGGATGGGAAATATGTTACTCAAATATGCAGCCAGAGTATTGGTATGGAAGATAAAGTGAATGATTTGGTATGGGAGATAAAGTGGGTGATTGGATATAGTCAGAGAGCGACTGGGATGATTTATCATGAAAAAATATGTTATTTTTAGATCTAGAGCAACACTTTTACTTCAAAAAGAAGAGTTAGAAGAAAATAAAAAAGGGAGAAGGAACATATACACCCGTCAAACATTGACTACTCTCAAAACGTTAACATGATAAAAAGTACAATGAAGACAATGCTGAAAAAATCCTCAGTTGGAAAGTTTAATACCTTTCCCCTACTACAGCACATGAAATAATAATATCAAAACGCGACCAATGCATTTTTGTTTGACAATTAAAGTGTTTTAGCTTTCTTAAGTTCTATGATGATGATGAAATGGAATAACATGAGAAATGTGTTATTTTGAGCTGGTATTAATTCAGAATATAAAACATCCAAGTAAGCATGATGCAAAATTCAGCTATAAGTAACTTCAAATAAATTTTAAAGCATGATAGTCCCAAGAGGGTTCTCTATAACCTCCTCAGACGCAGACTTTTCATAGCAAAAAAGAGATCGAAGACTGCTCATTCTACACATCATTTGAAACTGCGTGCACACATACAAAAGAACCGTGTAAAGATGTTTCACATTTTATTAAAGGACTAGCAGAAGCTGAACGTTGATGCGCTTCCCCACATTAGTAACAAAAGATTTGATTCCTAGAATCCTTGGCAATCAATATATTGCAGTCTTATATTAATTTCTTAGAATTTGGACACTTTGTTTCAGTGTAATGTCCCTATTTCCTAAAACTACTAGGGTACCTTTTGAAATAAAACTTCTTGAATTAGTTTGGTTATAGCTATGTTTGAAAAAATTGGATGAACTGCCATGTGAGAGAAAAGTACTGATGTTTTAGTTAGGAGCAGAAAACTACTACGCTGTATTTGTGAGAAAGTCTAAGATGCATTTCGTTGTCAAGCAAGGGTTGTTAATTATAATCGGTGAGTGATTAAAAAGATAAACAAGAAAAACAAAATAAAATAATGTAAGGACCTCGACTAGAAACACAATTAAGCCAAAATTAAATGATTATAACTAAAAAATACGTAGTATGCGGCATGCATGGGCGTGAAATATAAAAAATTAGTACTTCATATCTTATACTCCCGAAAATAAATTTCCACATACTTTCCCAAGCTAAAATTCTCATTTTTATAAAAAGAAGTTTTCTAATAAGAAATGTCATTGTTACCCTTTCCTTTTGTATATTTTGCTTAATTTATCATAAAATAGAGGTATAAATATAAAATGGGAGAATTTGACTTTGCATCCCATGTTTTGGGTGAAATTTGACTTTGCACCCTATTTTCAAAATAATTAATGTATGCTCCCCAATTCACTATAAAATCATTTGACTTTGCACCCCACTCCTTCACAATTTTAAGACTAATGGGGTGCATACATTAATGATTTTAAAAATGGGGTGCAAAGTCAAATATCATCCAAAACATGGGGTGCAAAGTCAAATTCTCCCAAAATTTCCCATATAAAATCAACTTCTTTCCTATTTCACGTTCCACCAAGACGTGAAATATCTTGAAGCTCTCGAAGACCTGAACCTTCGTTGTCAAGAAATACACCCACACTTTCCGAGAAGCATCATCGATAAAAGTCAGAAAATATCTGCTTCCACCGATTGATTCCATCTCGAAAGGACCACAGACATCGGAGTGTACCAAACTTAACAACTCCGATCTTTTAGTTGAAGTAGAACTAAATGATACTCTATGTTGCTTACCAAACAGACAATGACTGCAAGGACCCAGTGCAGCATTGTTGTTGATGTTGATAAGGTTCTTCTTCATCAAGGTAGTCAAACCTTTCTCACCGATGTGGCCGAGCCTCAGGTGCCACAGATTATGAGAAGTCTCTTCTGCAATGTTGAGGCTATCCGTACAAATCCTCAAATGGGTTTTGTACAATGTGCCACAAACATGTCCTCGAGCGATTGTCAAAACGCCCTTTGACATTTTCCAGGTGCCCCTGTTAAAGTGGTTGTCATACCCCTGTTCGTCAAGACATACCACAGATAGGAGATTGAGACGAAGGTCTGGAACATGTATGACATCCTTCAAAGTGATTGTGATCCCAGTACTCGTCTTTATTTGTACATCACCAATTCCAGCTATTCCAGAGGAACTGGAATTGCCCATCTTTACTGCTCCAAAGTCTCCAGCTTTGTAAGTTGTGAAGTAGTACCTGTGGGGAGTAACATGGTAGGATGTTGCAGTATCTACCACCCATTCAGTGCCCTCTCTTGAGACGTGAAGGCACGTTTCATCATTGATAGTACAATACGCCACATCACCTGAGATTGTGATGAGCGCTTCACCACCCTTGTTCTTAGCTTGAGAATTGCTCTTGCCTCGCTCCTCTAGCAATTTGTAGCAATTCTTCTTCATGTGACCCTCTATACCGCAATGGTGGCAGGTATAAGAAGGTTTTCGACCATCCGATGATCTCCCCTGACTTTTGCCTCTGCTTTGCCACTTTCCTCTACTGTTTCTTTGTTGCTTTCCTTGTGATCTTCCTCGATTCTCCGTCACAGGGGCATGAGTCTGATCTGTGCTCATGTCTTTCCTCATTGCCTCCTCATTGAACAATGCATCCTTGACCACAGACATGGTAAGTTTGCCATCTGGGGCTGAGTTGTTGAGAGTAACAACTAGTGTCTCCCAACTATCAGGAAGGGAACTAAGAAGTAGTAGAGATTGTATTTCATCTCCAAGTGGCATATCTACACAAGATAGTTGATTTACCAGACTCTGAAACTGACTAGTATGTTCGACAACAGAAGTTCCACTTTTGAGCTTCATATTAACAATGCGCCTCATCAGTAGGGCCTTATTCCTAGCGGTCTTGGCCTGGTACATATCTTCTAACTTTTTCCAAAGGGCATAAGCGTCGATGTCTTGTGCAACATGGTGGAAGACACTATGGTCGATCCATTAACATATTTGACCAATAGTTTTTCTATTAATTTTCTTCCACTCCATTGACTTGGGTGGGTCAGGATTAATACCTTTCATCTCTACTGGATCAAAAAGGTCTTTACAGCTAAGGAAATCTTCCATCCGAGGTTTCCATAGAGTGTAGTTGGTAGCCGTGAGCATAATCATAGCTCCGGAAGATGAAGTTGACTGGTCAAAGGTCATTTTCACCTTCTAAGTAATTTTGATTTTCTGTTTGAGAAAAATCGGAGCAGAATTTTGAAAAACGGACAGCACCGTTGCGTCCGGAACGTCCGAAAATGGTGGGTAGACAATTTCGGGGTCAAAATACAATTTTCGAAAAATTATAGGTGAAAATTATAATTTTCCAAAAAATTGAGGGACCAAACTGCAATTTTTCAAAATTTTAAAAACTGACCGGTGACATGGCAGATGTTGTGGCGCTGACTGGGCGTTGTCATGGCAGATGACTAGGCGCTAGTGAAAATGGCAGTGGTTTGATGACGTGGCGGATGACGTGGCAGATCTGCACTCGTGGCGAAGACGTGTCGCTGACACAACTCTGACTGGCTGATGACGTCAGCGATGACGTCAGCCATCTTCAATCTCTGGCCAGCGTATTGTATGACGTCTGCGTGCTCCTCACCACCGGCGCGTAGGTGGCGCGTGTGGTGCCTCCCGGTGGCCAAAAAATTCCACAAAAATACCAATTTTCTCGTCTCAACGAGACAAATCCAACAGTATATTCAGATTGCAATTCCGAGCAAAACTGAAAAACACGAATTTTCAGTCAGTAGAATTTTATCTGAAAAATTCTGGGAAAAATACCAAAAGCTCAACCAGGCTCTAATACCACTTGTTGGGAATAAGGATCTTGCTAATATGAGAGAAAAACACTTTTATTACTTTCAAGAATAGAAATAAGAGACATACAAGCTCTAACTAAAAACTCTAAAAAACAACACCTCACATATCTCTCAAGGATATTCACAACTCTTCTTGGTTGTGCTTTGATGATCTATTCTAATTTACTTAGTGATATAAAGACTCTCCAAGCTCTTTATTTATAGCACCAAAATTAGGTACTATGAAGGTGGGAGGAAGGTGAGATTAAACATGAGGAAATCTTGAGGAAGCTCCATTTGTCATTCTTGCACATGGAGGAAGCTTCATAGTTGTTGCAATTGAATTCTTCGCTACCGTTACTACGTAGTAATAATGAAAAGAAAATTTAGCTAGATTAATTGGGGTGTGCCGAGACCAAAACTGGCCTCCTACCTCCACCCATGTTTAAAGTCATACTACTAGGTATCTTATAAGAATTTGACTTGTAATTGACCAGATCAAATGACTTGACCACGGTTCAACCGGCAACTCCTAGGTCAGTCCGGTCAAAACCCGATGAACTCGATCAACAGTCAAGTAGTCTACACAATAAAAAACTTATAACTCAGTGTACTTTATATGTGAACTTAATAAGATCATGTGTATATATATATATTTATACATTTGAACAATTAAATGTATTGATGGTTAATGAGTAAAACCTAGAATTTATACGAACAAAATTAAACTAGATCAAATTGTTCTTGAAGTTAAACTGGTAGACAGCCAGTCAGCCACGTACGTACAATGCTAGCTAGGTGGAAACTATTCGGAAACTGCACGGTTACATTTCAAAATTGGCGTAGTTCCGATTTTCCTTAATTTCGCTTCTTCATGTTTCCCACACCGAGAAACGGAAGAAACTCCTCCCTCACAAGACTTTATAAATACAAGAGTCGCTGCTTCAGCATGAGATGCGTAGTCGTAGCCCATTCTCAATCCACCTGTGCTCTTACTCGTAATAGTAACGGGTCTTAAGAGTTTCCCTCCCGACTTCTACAATGGTTGGATTAGGCCAAACCTCATATGGGTTTAACAATGACATTTTGCGACTACTTTTAGATGGTAAACATTTAGTCCTTATTTTCAAATTATAAACATTTAGTTTGTGATCATTATCTTTTCACCTCCCTTGTCCTTCAGCCAAAATTCCAGCAAATTTAATGCAATTTTTAGGTGTGAAAAAACAAATTTAATGCAAAGATTGATATGAAAAACCCGACCTGATACAAATTTTAATGCAAAGACTGATTCTGAGACTGAGAAGTGAACTAAATTTACTGGAATTTTGATCGGAAGGACGAAGGATGGTGAATGGATAATGGTCACAGACTAAATGTGAACAATCTGAAAGTAAGGGACTAAATGTTGAAGTGGTATAATAGTCATGAGACCAAAAGTGGAATTTTTTCTTTTAAAAACCCCAAGTTTACATTAAAAAGCGACCAATTCTAAAAAACCCAAGTTTACACTAAAAAGCCAAGTACCTTGTGCTCTATGGCATCACGAGACTTTCAAAGAAGATATCACAAATTCGAACAATTTATGATGTTGACCTTAATATAACAGATACTATGATAGGTTAGAAATAACTGTCCAAAAAAATATAGATCCACATATTGGTTAATCACACGCCTATCTTGCTATCTAGCTAACTCTACATTGAATTTAAAGAAACGTGATTGTAATGAGTACATTTGCACGCGTAATTAATTGATACGAGTACTACATTCATCCCATTTCCCCGTCAAACCATTCTTCAATTCTCCTAGCTAGTAACATTGAAATTAGGAATGACAATCACATTTAAATTTTTATAGACTACGGCTAGACTTTCTAAGTTCTAACCAAAAGAATATGCATGTGATCAATAGATAAAGTATATAATAAGATAACTAAGTGATGACTGATGGGTTATGTACGTACTTATGTATATAAAATGTGCATGTTGATTAATTAAGTTATTAATGTATGTATGGTGAAGCAACATATATTACATAAATGATAAGCTGGACAAGAGGAGTTGTAATAGTTTATCTAAATTAGGAATTCTGTTGTATTCTGGAAACTCTCTTGATTATATATAGACCTATCAGCACCCTCCCTAGGGTAACCTGTTTCAATTATTCACAAGTTGGACGTACATATTTGGAGCATGTTGTGCGATGACGGTGCTCATCCCATCTTTCCACAACTATCGGATTTGGTCTTTTCTTGGACTCTTGATGACTTCTTACACCGCTTGGTACCTCACCCTTGCTTCCCTTCTCCATGGCCAAGTATGTATTCTAATTCCATCATATACTAGGAATTTTAAAAAATCTACTTGTGATTGCGTGATTTTTTACATAAGGTCGAGTCTACGATTCATTATTTCACAAAGGGGACATATGTTTTCAATTTGACGGTCTCCGGTCATAAAAAAGTGATGTCGATGTATAAAGAAGTGACATATCACCGTTTTACGGGGTTTAGACGAAGACTCCGTGAGTGCTAACGAACATTTCTAGAGAAGTTTTAGTTCTATCCCTAAATAGAAGCAAAATGTTGCACTTTTTTAAATACGAATCACAACACTTTCATCTCAAAATGGTACTCATGCACTCATATCTAGAGAAGTTTAAAACCGTTTACTCGATAAAATTCGGTCAATTTTCTTAAATGGAGGATTCCCCCCCCCCCCCCCAAATACAAGTGATGCATCCCTATTTATGGAAATTTCTATTATTTTATTTTTTAATAGGACAAGTTGTAAGTCATATTTTCGTAAAAAAATATCTTTGGTCCTATTTAAGATATGTTGCATGCGTATATTTTAGTCTTACTTTGAGCAATTTTTCTTTACTCCTTGAATTGAACTAAATAGCAAATATCCCTTATTTTAGGAATAAAACAGACAATCATTTTTTGTTAGAACTTTGCTTGTGTTTTTGACCCATTTTGAACAATTTATATACCTCTTCAGTAAGTTATCTAAGAACGTACGTACATCTTATTAATATTGCACTATTATTTTAATCAACTTAAAATAGTACCCATTATTGTAGTAGTCATTTGCTCACCCAATTCAACCTAGAAATCTCAGCTCTAATCAGTCTGCATTAATTATTTTCTGAACAATTAATTATTAGTAACTTGGATTTCGAAAAAAAAAAAACAATCAGAAGAAACGTAACACATAATTTACATAATAATGCAGGTGGAGGGGGTGAAGCACTCAGGACCAACGAAACTGGTTCTATACTTTACAGGGGCAACAAACATTCTTTACACCTTCGGCGGACATGCCGTCACTGTGTAAGACTCACATGTCTTACTTTCACCTATCTGTTTGTTTTCTACCGCAAGACACTTTCACTATTTACTCTCTTGACTCGACTACCAAATACGGAGACACACACTGTTTAAGCAAGAATTAAACTAGTCTAAAATTATATGTATGTGGGGATCGTACAAGAAACACAATATAAGAACCGAAAACTAATGAATGAGAGTATATTAATCTGGATGTATGATTCAAAGAGTGGTATTACAAGTGCATAGATAATTAAGTAAGTCCTTTTCTCTTCTACCGCCAGCCTATTTAAAATAGAATTTCCAACTCTTTTCCCCCATGCGGACGAACTGCCCGGCGAAATGGTAGCCTTCCCCTACTAAATCGGGATCCGTTCCTCTATTTTCTCCTCAACTTCTTAGGCGTTCTTATCCACTTCGTCATATCATTTGACCAAGCCGGATTCTGTAGACTCCTTAAGGTCATGTGGGCTGATCCGTCCAATAAACTCAAATCCAATTTAATGGGCCGATTCGCTTGACAGATCCGGGCCCAACAATTGCCCCTAAAATTTGAAGTAGTAATCGTTACCAATTTAATCCAACCGGTCGATTACTTCTTTGAATTTTAAACGTTTTGATGCTACCTCGAAATGGACAAAACCGTCAACCTCCTTCCTCGAGTAACCAACCCTCTGTCAGAATAGCCTCTTTTCAGTCATAACTCTTCTTTGGTGAAATACCTTTCGCTTGATTCTTGCAGAGATCCATCGTGAGAATCTATGGCGTCTCAACAGTTTATCCCTCAACACATCCTTGATCCGAAGAATGCAAAACAGGCAAAATCTCGGAGAATCATATCGAAGCTATCAAGAATGGTTCCGGATTTCCAGCGCATGCATCCATCCGGTTTCCGGCCGCTAACGAACGGGTTGATTGGCATTGTGATGGTTGGGTCAACTTCTTCATGTATCCCTTCAAGATTGGTATGAAATTCCCTTTCTCTTCCTTAGTTAGAGATTTCTTAGCCTTTGTCAAGGTTTCTCCTTCCCAAGTAATGCCACAAGTATGGAGGGTTCTGCGTGGTTTAGAAGTATTAAGCGAAAAACACAGCATCCCCTTCTCCTTTGAAGATCTGGGTTTTACCTATGATCTTCGTTCTTCTGGAGCTGGTCGGTTTACCCTGGCTGTCAAAGATGCTCGCGAGGCGCTGATATTGAGGGCGGACAAAGCTAATGATCGTGGCTGGATGAGCCAGTTCTTCTTTGTGCAAAAAGATTCCCTAGGTTCTGAGGGCGCATTTCTTGAAGAGAGTTTACACAAAGGTATCTTGACAACTCCTTGTTTTACATATGAATTTCAAATGTATTTAGTTGCTATATGGCTGGTCTGCAAAACGTCAAAATTACCGTTTTCACTGTTGTTGTTTTTTCTTTTGCTTTAGATAGGAAGACTATCCCCTTGAGCTATGGTCCAGACTCTGAAGGAAGGACTGTCAAAATTTTATCTTTAACTACTACCGAACGGACCTTTGGGAATCTAGTGGTTGATAATGAAGGTATGTCTCCCACTCCTGACCATTCTCGGTCCGTTGGATTAAGGCGCTCTCGCCGTAATATTCAGAACGTCCTTGACGATGCCCAAGATTCACGCGCGGTCTCTGTAGATGATTCAGACCATGAATCAGAAACTTCGAGGGGTGGAGGTGAAAATGCAAGTGCTTTCGTTCCTCTTCAGATGGTGTTTCCCGGTGGTCAGGATTCCTGTTCTCTTCCAGCAAAACGTTCTGCACAACACGCCGGTACTGGTTTCAGCTATTTCAATTATTCGTCAAATGTTGCTTTATTTAGAATGTTTATATATTTTCCTTTGCCGCAGCTGTTTCTTCGTCTAACACACGGCCGATACCTTCTGATTACGACCTTCTTAACATGGTTTCAAGAAAGAAGAAAATCCCATCTAAGTTGGCCTCTGGTTGTTCCAAAACTCCACAATGCCCAAATACAGAAATGAAATCTGCTCCTCCTCGTCCAGTGAGTGCCACCACCAATCCTGACTCTAGTGGGAAGATGAATGCTTCTTTCTCTCGTGACTTTTGTTGTTTGAATGATGCTCTTGTGATGGGAAGTGAAATGCCTCAAGTCCTGCTCTCCTCCTCATCTGTTGTATTCAAGGATGTGTCCTCAGCTGGCCTGGCATTGGCTTCCTCGGCTTTTGCTTTTCAGGTATCTCGTCGTTTTGTAAATGCTCGGTACCTGTAGAAATTTAATCCTTCTTTTGACGAGAGAAATTTGTTTTAACCTGGCAGAGTGTTCAAGCTAGCCTTGTTGCTGTAGAAAGGTTGGTTCTGCTGGAAAAGGCTGTGGACGAATTAAAAAGAAAGGAGAAAAGTTTTCACGCTCGTGCTGATGTTGATGCTCGAACGATCCAAAGTCTCCGTAGTGATAATTCGATTTTAACAACTCAAATTTCAACTTTAAAAACCCGTATTAAGTCGTTGGAGGCGTATGGGAGGAAAAAGAAACAAGAGGTTACTGACGCGGCCTGTTTTTATGCTTGGAAAACCAGAGGTGAACTGATGACTTCATTCCTCGCAGGCGAGATGTCAAACTGGACTGCGGAACAGGACGTTGCTACCTGGTTAAAGCTTCAAGATGAGATGGATCCCCCGATTGGAGAAGACGGTTTTGACGTAGGCCAGTCCGATAACGAGGCTGAATCCAGACGCTCCCGAGATAACTAACTGCACCCCTTCCCCTTTACTTTCTCGTCTTTAAACATTTGCTTTTGCTTCCAAGACTCACTCTGCCATTATTGCCCCTGCATCATGGTCTCCTGTTAGAAATTTTAATATTTTCCTGTGGATTTATGGATATTGTGCTTGGTGGTTTATCCAAGCCAAATCCATGTTGTTTGGTGATTCCGTTGCTACTCCTTTTGGTCACCTGACTTACGTTTATGTTGACGTGTGTGTTGTTATATATGTCGTTTTCGTATATAACCTGCCATGTGTGCGTAGAGGAATATATATGTGTTTTGTGTTTTGGCCAAAACTTATTCGGTTTCATGGAACTTCATTCATGGTTTCTCCATAATGAGCCTCATGTCCCCTGTATGTTGATGTTTTTGTCATGAGCAGATCTGATGTTCTATCTGTTGTTCTGGTACTTGGTCACCTGGTATTTTGATCTTAACCTTTCATAGTCCTGCGATGATACCGTTCCGTTGGGATCAGCCGTTGGTTTGGGGCCAACGGCCCTCCGACGGTCAAGTTAGTGAATGATGAATTGTATTTACTATATTTAAGATTATGTGAACTGTGACTAATTACCTGCGACTTGGCCGTTTTTGTGTGCCTTCCTGTATTTATAACTATCGTCAGGGTCGGTCGCTGGCCTTAAGACAACGGCCCTCCGACGGCCAAGTTAATCATTTAGTAATAGGGGTAGAAATGCAAAAAACAAAAGAAACTTTTGTTAAAAGTGAAAACGCTTTAAATGTACCGCATTCCAACTTCGAGGGACTTGTTTACCATCGATTGACTGCAGGCAGTATGCCCCCTGACTGATGACATCAATGATTCTGTAAGGTCCTTCCCAATTAGGACTAAATTTTCCGGCTGCTTCATTGCCAAATGCTCTCCTCAAGACCCAATCTCCCTTTTGAAACACCTTTGCCCGAACATTTTTATTATAGCTTTTTGCCACCATTTGTTGATATGTCTGCAAACGGATCTTGGCTCGTTCACGGATCTCGTCAATGGTATCCAAGTCGTGCACCAACTCCACATTGTTCAATTCCTCAGTCATGAGTCCATACCTCGAAGAAGGTATTTCAATCTCAGCAGGAATGACCGCTTCGCAGCCATGCACCAGAGAGAATGGGGTTTGTCCGGTTACATTTTTCGGAGTTGTCCTGTCTGTCCAGAGTATTAAGGGCAATTCATCAGCCCATCGGCCTTGCGCCTTTTCAAGCCTTTTCTTTAAGTTGGCAATGATAATCTTGTTGCTAGACTCGGCCTGCCCATTAGACTGCGGGTACCTAGGTGTCGACGTTTCCAATTTGATATTGTATTTCTCACAAAAGCGTCTGGTTTTAGCGCTTATGAACTGAGATCTGTTGTCACAAAAGATATCTGAAGGAACGCCGAATCTGCAAAGGATATTTCTCTTAATAAACGAAATCACCTGGTCATCTCGTATTTGCCGAAAAGGCTCAACCTCCACCCATTTTGAAAAGTAATCCGTCATTGCTAGCATATATACTTTCTGCCCCGGTGCCTCTGGCAATTTTCCTACAATATCCATGCCCCATTTCATAAAGGGCCATGGTGATAGAACTGGATGAAGCGTCTCGGAGGGCTGGTGACGAATTGGTCCATGCATCTGACAGGGCTTGCATCTTTGGGTGAATGTGGTCGCATCTTCTCTCATGGTCGGCCAGTAATAACCGAATCTAAGAGCTTTGTTAGACAGACTTCGTCCTGTTGCGTGATTGCCGCATTCCCCCTCATGAAGGTTTTTCAATGCTTTGGCGGCTTCTTGCGGTGCCAGACATCTTTGGAGTGGACCTGCGACAGATCTTTTAAATAGCACATCATCAATCAGTAAGAACTTACTTGCCTTGGATAGGAAAGCCTTGGCCTCTTTTCTGTCCTCTGGGAGAGTATTGTGCTTTAAGTACGCTACGTATTGTTGTGTCCAGTCGTCTTGTGCCGGGGTCTTAATGGTAGAGGCAATCTCTGATCTGTAAATTGCTGGGCTCATCAAGTGCACATAGGGGATGTTGCGATTGATTTCTGCCCCTAGACATGATCCGACGGCAGCCAGAGCGTCAGCTTGTGTGTTTTCTTCTCGTGGGATTTGCTCAAGGGTTATTTCGTCGAATGCCGTTATCAATTCTCGGACAATTTGCAAATAAGATGTCATCTTGGGGTCCTTTGCTGCATACACACCGTTAGTTTGATTGATTATCAGTAAAGAATCACATTTTACCTCCAAGATTTTGACGCCCAAGTCCCTTGCCAATGTGAGTCCGACGATTAGCGCCTCGTATTCTGCCTCGTTGTTCGTAGCGGTGAAATCGCAGTGTACTGCTTGGAGCATGGTGTCCCCCTGTGGTGACTTCAGTATCACGCCCAGACCTGCGCCGTTTTGGTTTGATGCTCCGTCAGTGTGCAATGTCCATTTTTGCTTTGGGAATCCATCGATCAGAGTGCAAATCTCTTTTTCTGCTTCCTCTTGGAGCTTTGGACTGAAGTCTGCCACAAAATCTGCAAGTGACTGTGATTTCAAGGCTGTTCTCGGTTCGAATCTTATGTCATAAGCTCCAAGTTGAATCGACCATTTAGCCATGCGACCTGTCAATTCTGGTTTCCTCATGATTGACTTCATGGGATAGTTAGTTCTAACACAAATGGTATGTGATTCAAAATAAGGACGTAATTTAATTGAAGCAACGATCAAAGCTAAAACTAACTTTTCAAGTAAAGCATACCTGAATTCCGGGCCATTTAGAGATTTACTTACGTAATAGACTGGAGTTTGCTGCCCCTGCTCCTCTTTTGTCAGTACTGCGCTGACGACGTGCTCTGAAACGGCCAGATAAAGTTATAGCTCTTCGTCATTTTTAGGTTTTGCGAGCAATGGTGGCGACATCATATATTCTTTTAATTGTTGAAGCGCCTGTTCGTGTCGGTCTGTCCATTCGAATTTTTTGTTTTTTCTCAAGACGTCATAAAACAAATGGCACCTGTCTGACGATTTTGAAATGAAACGGTTCAAAGCCGCAATTCGTTCTGTCAACCTCTGGATATCTTTGACGGATTTTGGAGGTTCAATGTCAATAATTGCCCATATTTGTTCCGGGCTCGCCTCTATTCCTCGTTCACTGACGATATATCCTAAAAATTCTCCTGATGTCACTCCAAAAGTACATTTCGCTGGATTGATCTTCAGATTATACTTTTTCAGTCTTCTGAAGGGTTCCGTCAGATGATAGATATGATCCTCTTTTTTCTTTGATTTGACGATCATGTCGTCGATATAAACCTCCATGGTGTCCCCCATTAGATCTTTGAACATTAAGGTGACCAGTCTCTGAAACGTCGCGCATGCATTTTTCAGTCCAAAAGGCATAACAATATAACAATATGTACCTGTTTCAGTAATGAAGGCTGTGCTTTCTTGGTCATCGGGGTGAAGCTGTATTTGATGGTATCCACTGAATGCGTCCATGAAGGATAACATTTCATGCCCTGCCGTAGCGTCAGCCAAAGCGTCAATGTGTGGCATCAGATATGAATCTTTGGGACACGCTTTGTTCAGGTCAGTGAAGTCCACACAGACTCTCCATTTGACGGGCTTGCCTTCTTCCCGCCCTTTCTTTTTCTGAACAACAACAACATTAGCTAACCAATCGGGATACTTTACCTCCTTTACCTTGCCGGTTCGAAGCAGCGTATCAACTTCCTGGTTTATAATGGCATTCCTTTCTTTTTCAAAGCGTCTTCTTTTTTGTCTGACGGGTTTGTGTAATGGGCTGACGTTTAGCCTGTGAGTTATGATATTAGGATCAATACCTGTCATGTCGTCGTGGCTCCATGCAAACACGTCCTTATGTTCTTTGAGGAAGTTTATCAGTTCGTCTTTGAGGTGCTTTGGTATGTCTTTCCCGATGCGGATGACCCTTTCTGGATGTTCTGGGTCGATGGCGACTTCTTCTGTTTTGGCGTCATCTTCCACCAGAGCGGGGCCACCCTTTAATTGCTATGCGATCCTGGAGGCAGTTTGGTCCGCAGTTGGCTTCATCGCCGTTTGGTAGCAGGATTTGGCTGACTGTCGATCCCCCCTGATGCTTTGTACTCCCCACGGCGTTGGGAACTTGATTATTTGATGATAAGTCGATGGAATTGCCCCCATTTGATGCAACCAGGGAGTTCCCAAGATCATGTTGTATGCTGGTATGCTTTCGACTACGTCGAATTTGACCTGCATGTTTAGACCATGGGTATATACGGGTAACGAAATATTACCTACGGTTTTGCTCGGCTCTCCATTGAATCCGACCAAGCTTGACCCGGACCCTGTTATATCTTCCTCCTTGGCCCCCAGTTCTTTCAACGTTTTCATGGTGGTAATATTTGCGGTGCTCCCGTTGTCCACGAGGACTCGTTTGACTTCGCAGTTTGCCACTCTAAGGGAGACCACCAACGTATCGTGATGAG